GTCTAAAACTTATCAAATATTTCAGGAAGCAGCCGAAAAATTTTGCATACGATTACTGTTTTGATTCGATTGATCCAAATGTTGACGGCTTTGTTGGTTAGAAATTCATTCATTCACTTTGAGAATTATTGCTTCCTTTAGAATGAACATGAATAATAAGTTTTATTTAATAAAGCCAAAGTCGAAATACCCTTTTTCCTACGCGATTTTACACCATGACGCAGTGCAAAACTCACTAAAGCAAGATCACTACGTGCATCATGTGACATACAATAGACAGGAAGCTGAATTTCTTAAAACAAAATTCCTGGGTTAGAGTACTCACATTTAAGATAAACGTTCCTGTTCCTCAATGCCCTGACCTTTAAACCGGATGCTGAAGGATTTCCAACCCCGAAACGGAAAATTTACGTGATTGAAATTTTAAAATCAGTTTTCAATCGTGTACGAACTCTTTAGATCGTTCTACGCCCTCACATCAAGTCTCACACGCAAATTCACATAGATGCTATGATTTGAAAAGCCAATAACAGCGATATGCATTAGGGTTGCTGGTGCAATCATACGTTTTTGAGATCAGCTGCCTGGTTGATGAATTTTGCTTAAGAATTTTTTTACTGTAGCAGAGTAGAAATTTTTTGATCGAAAAACGAAGATGTTTGGTTCCTACATTGTTATTCAGGGCAGAGACAACGGCCAAGGGTCATGAGAGAGAAAATTAGAATTTTTAGCTTGTCTAGTCATAGAATTGGAAAGCTGTTCAAAATCAAAGTTTCACTTGCATGAAAAGTAGACGCAGGTTGAATCTGAATTTAGGTTTCCTGGGTCACGTTTAGATAGGAAATAGCCTCTTAAGCTTTCTAACTTTTCGAGTCCTCGAGTTGATATTTTCCCATCAAATCTTTCATGCATCCGTACGAGAGAAACAGACGTACATTGAGGCAGAATTTTGGTCTTCTTTTGAAAAGGTTCTCCTAAAATTTCAGTTTCCTAGCTTTTCTGGCTCTCTAATTAGTAGTTTCTTTCCAAAGCTATCAGCTGTCTTAAGTGAGGCGCTAACTCGCGTAAAAGCTGATTTCACGTTTCTTGGGATGCAATTTACGGTGGAACACAGTGACAAAACTTCAATACTTAAGCTTGCTTGACTACCGAGTTCAGACAGACCTACAAACATATACATACACACAGCATGGATCGTTGTAATATGCAGTTTTGTTGACTATTGTAATACAACAGCGCTGCACCGCAAAAACGCGTATAAACCAAAAGAAGCGTGAAAATATGATGAAAAAATTTCCGTACCAGACGACAAGCCGTATGCATAAATATTCAGAAAAAATATTTTGCCACGGATTTTAGCACTTGATTTTCAGATCAGCAGGAAGTGTTTGAGCGGATTGGTTCTAGTGTGCTCAGCAATGCATTCGAGGGA